TAGAAATTTGTACAAGCCTTGATCACTCACACACATGCACACACATAGTGTTAGAACACACTAACACATGCTTAGTGTGTTGGTTAACAATAGAAATCCCCTATGTTAGCCATTAGAGTTTATAGATATTAAGTGAGTCTTAAAACATTTCATTTACACCCCTTAGAAATTAGAATCTGGAAAAACTCAAAAGACCAAAGTTGTAGGTCTCTTCAAGAGCTTTCCAACAAATCTTAAATCACCTCATTCCGATATCGGATGAGAAAGTTATAGTCAAAATACTAAACAGAAAAATTCCAGAATCTGAGTTTACAGTGTAGTCGACTAATATGCCTTGTAGTCGACTACTGATCAATTTTCTGACTTCACAGAGTCTGTTTAGACTCAGTGTAGTCGACTACTATGACTTGTAGTCGACTACAGATGCAGTTTTTCCAGATTTCAGGTTTAAAATAAGTGACTGTTTATAGCCGTTTTGTGGACGTTAATTGGGTTTAAAATTATGTCATTTCAGAGGCTATAAATAGGTTTAAACATCAGAAAACAACAACCAAGTTTTGCACTTGCAAGATCAAACATTTTGTGCATATTCACTCTCTAATTTTCCAGATTTTCATGCTAAGTGTTTAGAAAAAGAGAGTTTCTGATATTGCCTTGGTTTCAATCATTCTTAGAGATTGTATAGACAATATTCAGAGAGTTAAAAGAATCCTAAGCCACTGCAGCACTTCACTACACATTCAAGGCTTATAGGATCAATTGTGTTCTTGCTTCAAAAAGGATTTCTCTCGGGTTTGAGAGGGTTGATCTCTTGGTTTAGAGATTGGGTGGCAATTGGCATGGTCTTGTCAATTGGTGTTGCAATTTGCATGGTCTTGCAAATTGGTCAGGTTTGCTTTTGATTTTGTAAGGTTTCAAAATCATAGTGGAAATCTCAAGCGGGATTTGCTTGGGGACTGGATGTACACCGGGTTGGTGGAACCAGTATAAAACTTTGTGTTTGTGATTGTGAATTTCTGAGATTGCCATTTTTCTTTGCAATTTATAATCTACTTTGCATATATTTTAAAAGAACACTATTCACCCCTCTTCTAGTGTTCTAGTGTATCTATTTCAGATCCTACAAAAACTAGGTTAGTTCTGACCCAATTTTTCTTAGACCAAAAAGAAGTCATAAAACCAGTTTAGTGGTAGATTAGGAGGGTGTTTGTCCACAATTAAATTAGGTTAGAGTAGAACTGGACCAGAGTTGAACCTGATACAGTTTTTGGGTAGTTGTCAAACACACCCTAAGATTGGTTTGGTCTTTTATATGCAACTACATTTATTGGTGAGCAAATTCAATGGTACTCACTATGTTCAATCGGTACTTGACTAGTGCACACAGGGGCGGAGTCAGGCATAAGGATGAGGGGTCCCATTGCCCCTTCATTGCAAAGTCTCGGTCTTGTGGGAATTGATTATCTATCTTAGAACAAGCTTCAATATGAGCCCATTATACCAGCGCCTCCTTCGCTACCGAACTTCGTTTTGTCGTTGCCTCGCTGTTGACGTTACTGACGACCTCTCTCGCTGACTGTGGCCGCAGCCGCTCCGACCAACGCTCAGATTAGACCCGCGTACCCACGCCGTCGACGTCGATTCGATCGACAAAACCCCGAGGCAAGATCCCGATATTCCTTTGACTTATCATCCAATTCTTAGATCCCGCCTGATTTAGTTAGCTGCTTGCAAGATCCTATTCTTGCTCAGTATAATTTTAGATTTATCATAAATTTATTATGCATACGAACTCATTACCCGAATAATTATTCGTTACAAATACGGAATTGTCGTGAACATATTGACTGAGAACCCATACGTATAGAACTGTTGTGAACGAAACGGACTAAGGAACAATAACGTATGACCATTCATATTGTAATACATATACTGTGATGACTTGCACGGATTTATTTGACGAATGATACTAAAAATAATATTTTGATAATAGATACTATAAAGATAAAATAAAATAAATTATTTTAGATTAGTTTATGATTTTTTTAGGATTTATTTGACAAAATAATCATTTTAAAATAATTATAATAAATTATTTGGTGAAAAATCATTTTAGAGTAATTATAATAAAACAATAGAATTTATTTGACAAAAGAATTATTTTAGAATAATTATAGTTTAAAAAGAATTTATTTTAGATTAAGTATCAATTTAGAATAATTTCAGTAATTCAAGAAAGTTTTATAAAAAAGAATTGTTTTAGAACATTTATAAATATTTTTAAAAGATTTACTTTAGAAAAGGGATTATTATGAATGATTTATGTTTCTTAATTTTAATTATGTGATATGTATGATATTGTTGATATATGATTAGTTGCAGTTATTACTCTTTGTTACGTTTGAGAACGCGTTAGAAATTCATGACTAGTGTGGTCTGGTGTGTCCTGTTTAAGACTTAGAAATCTGTGTGTATGTTGACCTTGATAAACAAAAGAGTTGGGATGGAGAAAGTCATGGTTCAATGTGATCGGATAAGACTGTTGATGTATCTTTCAGGCTCGCCCAGTGAACCGTTTCGCACTGGGGTTAGTTTGTTGTGCCAAGTGAACCGTTTCGCATTGGTCAGTGAAATCGTTTCGTTGTTGATTTATCTTCCAGACTCGCACCAGTTAGGTTTGTTTCGAACTGGGGTTGGTTTGATGGGCCACGGAGAAGGTTTGTTGCGTCACTTTGGTTCGTGAATGTGATATTCACCCAGGTCGGCTTGAGTTCGAACCAGGCGAATCGGTTTGCGTGGAGTCCTATTGGAAGCACGTAGGGGATTTGTTAACCAGATATCCGATAATATGAACTTTGACTCTGTGTGTGACGTGAACCAGTGACCTGTTATAGGATGGCTAGCTACATGACTCGTTTCTTGGATGAGTACGAGTTCTGTGAGATACAGACCAGATATGTTTTATTTTCATACCTAGATCGGGGTTAATATTTAATTATCATAATTCGAGACATATGGTATATACATGAGGGTTCCTTGTTTGGATTATTTCGCTCGACGTACTACGTCTCTCTTGTTGTAGATTTTTAAGTATTAATTCCATCTAGTATGATCTTGTTACTTGGTGATTAATCTGATCGCTAGTTGCATGATCGACTTGTTACTTGGTTGATTTTCTTGGATTTATTATGATTATTCTATTCTAGTAGTAAATTATATTTAGATTATTAGTATTTCAGTTGTATGTTTCTATTATTATTACCATTATTGCATTGGTCACACGACCGTTCTATTCTTCCTTTCGGGATCTTGCCGTGCGCCATGCACCTGACGTACACCTGTTTTCTCTGGTGTACGTCAGATTTAGAGGACGGACATGTTCAGTTTGGAGTCGTACAGGAGCCAGAGGATCCCCGCAGGAGTACTCTGTAGACCGAGCAGAAGAAGCCGAAGCCTCGTCATTTTCTTTTATCAGCATTAGTCCTTAGTTTACTTTTCTAGCATTCCTATTTCCGCCTGATCGTTGTATTTTATATTTTCCAGTATTTTATTCAGATAGCTAGTCTTGTATAAGGGCATGTTGACCCGAATATTATGTCTGGATGATCATTTCAGTTGTGATATGGATCTTTTGGTTCTGAGTTGTTTATTATATTCTCATTACTGTGATCGGGGACCTGTGCCTTCGTTTGTATTTCTTGACGCTTAGCGTATTAGATTGAGAAGACGGGGTTTAGCACTTATCTCTTCTCATTTAATACGTCGCGGGCTTGCTCGCGTCCTGATTCCCTGGTATTTTGGAAGCGGGCGTGACAGGTTTTTTTGGTGGCCCACGCAGGTCAAGGTTCCGGTCCGAGTTACCACTAGTGAGAATATAATGAATAATTTAGACGCATATCATATTTCATCCGTGAGACTATTCTCTTGTCCTTATTCTATATTCTTGATAGATTTCCTTTCGTCCCAATCTTATCATTCTTAGACTCCGGATCTTCCCACTGTTCCTGTTTCTTGTCTTCTCTTCTTATGGATATCGTTCTATATCTGCCTTGGTTTCTTATTTTAATTCCGAGGACGAAATTTGTTTTAAGGGGGGTACAATGTAATGACCGTAAAATTTTGATATTAGTTAAAATAATTTTTTGGTATTTTAAAATATTTAATTATGATTTTTAAAAGATATTTGTATTTTTCTCGATTTTTCTAGAATTTTCTATGATTTAAAGTCTAAGTTTTATATTTATTTAAATGGTTTTTATATTTATAAATTATTTAGTGCAATGAAAATTTTTGGAATTTATCTCGTTGGTTTACCGATACTATTACATATTATTTTAAATAATACCTCGTAATATTATTACTATTACATATTAATTCTTGGATTATATTGAATTATTAATTACGTATTATTTGTATAAATTATTGTATTATTACGTATCAGCTGTCGTAATAGCATAACTGGTACGTTTTTATCGTGTCGATAATTGTCACATAATTATTTGATTTTAAATGTAAGTAAATATATTTTTATTATTAATTATTTATTTTAATTGTACAATATGGGTATATTTCGACAGTTTCGTATCAACTGTTGTATTAGCTCAACATGTACGTTTTTATTTGTAGATAATTATTATGTAATTAGTTTAATTTTTAAGTACCCGAAATTAATTATTTTAATTATTTTCGGTTTAAATACCTGAAACTATTTGAAATACTCAACATTATTTTTGCACGCGCGACAAACCCCAACAACCCCGTTCTCTCCCTCTGCATTTTTTTTCAAAAACGACTGCTCCACGCGCATCATTCCTCAGTATTTTATTTTATTTTATTTATTTTTTATTATTTTTGTTCCCTATTTAAAAGCCCAGCTTCCCCATCTCTCCTCTTCGTACACCTCTCTCTCTCTCTCTCAAAACGAGCTCCACCAGCCCCCGACGAACGCCCGCAGCCCCCGACTTCGCCCGCCGCCGCGCCACCGGAGTTCGCCTCCGACCTCAGCCCGCCCCCTCGTCCTCCTCCCCCACACCCGAACACCCGACCCAGACCCCGCCACCAGGAGCTCGAGCTCCTCCGACCCGCCGGAGTTCGCCGCAGCCTGTCCAGTCCGCCGCCGCCTGCCTCCGACGAACCTGCACGGCGCCGACCCCGCGCCGCTCACCCTCGACGCCGCTCTGCCCTGACCCGCCGCCAGATCTGCTCCAGCCGCTGCTCCGCCCCCACCCGCTCGAAGCCATGGCCGCCTGCACCCATCTCCGCCGCTGACCACCCCACGCTGCCTGCATCTCCTCCCCGTAACCGCCAGCACCCCAGCCTGCCCCCATTTCCCTCCGACGCCTCCAGAACAGCCCAAGCCCCTCCCTCGTCATCGACAACTCGCTGTCAACCACCCCAGCGCCTCATTCGATACCAAACTCGCCGTTGTCGTTGCCTCGCTGTCGACGTTACTGACGACCTCTCTCGCTGACGGTGGCCCCAACCGCTCCGACCAACGCTCAGATTAGACCCGCGTACCCACGCCGTCGACGTCGATTCGATCGACAAAACCCCGAGGCAAGATCCCGATACTCCTTTGACTTATCATCCAATTCTTAGATCCGCCCTGATTTAGTTAGCTGCTTGCAAGATCCCTATTCTTGCTCAGTATAATTTTAGATTTATCATAAATTTATTATGCATACGAACTCGTTACCCGAATAATTATTCGTTACAAATACGGAATTGTCGTGAACATATTGGACTGAGAACCATAACGTATAGAACTGTTGTGAACGAAACGGACTAAGAACAATAACGTATGACCATTCATATTGTAATACATATACTGTGATGACTTGCACGGATTTATTTGATGAATGATACTAAAAATAATATTTTGATAATAGATACTGTAAAGATAAAATAAAATAAAATTATTTTAGATTAGTTTATGATTTTTTTAGGATTTATTTGACAAAATAATCATTTTAAAATAATTATAATAAATTATTTTGGTGAAAAATCATTTTAGAGTAATTATAATAAAACAATAGAATTTATTTGACAAAAGAATTATTTTAGAATAATTATAGTTTAAAAGAATTTATTTTAGATTAAGTATCAATTTAGAATAATTTCAGTAATTCAAGAAAGTTTTATAAAAAGAATTGTTTTAGAACATTTATAAATATTTTTAAAAGATTTACTTTAGAAAAGGGATTATTATGAATGATTTATGTTTCTTAATTTTAATTATGTGATATGCTATGATATTGTTGAATATGATTAGTTGCAGTTATTACTCTTTGTTACGTTTGAGAACCGTTAGAAATTCATGACTAGTGTGGTCTGGTGTGTCCTGTTTAAGACATAGAAATCTGTGTATGTTGACCTTGATAAACAAAAGAGTTGGGATGGAGAAAGTCATGGTTCATGTGATCGGATAAGACTGTTGATGTATCTTTCAGGCTCGCACCAGTGAACCGTTTCGCACTGGGGTTAGTTTGTTGTGCCAAGTGAACCGTTTCGCACTTGGTCAGTGAAATCGTTTCGTTGTTGATTTATCTTCCAGACTCGCACCAGTTAGGTTTGTTTCGAACTGGGGTTGGTTTGATGGGCCACGTTGAAGGTTTGTTGCGTCACTTTGGTTCGTAAATGTGATATTCACCCGGGTCGGCTTGAGTTCGAACCAGGCCGAATCGGTTTGCGTGGAGTCCTATTGGAAGCACGTAGGGGATTTGTTAACCAGATATCCGATAATATGAACTTTGACTCTGTGTGTGACGTGAACCAGTGACCTGTTATAGGATGGCTAGCTACATGACTCGTTTCTTGGATGAGTACGAGTTCTTGTGAGATACAGACCAGATATGTTTTATTTTCATACCTAGATCGGGGTTAATATTTAATTATCTATAATTCGAGACATATGGTATATACATGAGGGTTTCCTTGTTTGGATTATTTCGCTCGACGTACTACGTCTCTTGTTGTAAGTTGTGTTTCTTTTTATACATAGATCGGGATTAATATTTAATTATCTATAATTCGAGACATATGGTATATACATGAGGGTTTCCTTGTTTGGATTATTTCGCTCGACGTACTACGTCTCTTGTTGTAGATTTTTAAATATTAATTCCATCTAGTATGATCTTGTTACTTGGATGATTAATCTGATCGCTAGTTGCATGATCGACTTGTTACTTGGTTGATTTTCTTGGATTTATTATGATTATTCTATTCTAGTAGTAAATTATATTTAGATTATTAGTATTTCAGTTGTATGTTTCTATTGTTATTACCATTATTGCATTGGTCACACGACCGTTCTATTCTTCCTTTCGGGATCTTGCCGTGCGCCATGCACCTGACGTACACCTGTTTTCTCTGGTGTACGTCAGATTTAGAGGACGGACAGGTTCAGTTCGGAGTCGTACAGGAGCCAGAGGATCCCCCGCAGGAGTACTCTGTAGACCGAGCAGAAGAAGCCGAAGCCTAGTCATTTCTTTTATCAGCTGTTAGTCCTTAGTTTACTTTTCTAGCATTCCTATTTCCGCCTGATCGTTGCAGTCTTTTATTCATTCAGATAGTTTGTATAAGGGGCATGTTGACCCGAATATTATGTCTGGATGATCATTTCAGTTGTGATATGGATCTTTTGGTTCTGAGTTGTTTATTATATTCTCATTACTGTGATCGGGGACCTGTGCCTTCGTTTGTATTTCTTGACGCTTAGCGTATTAGATTGAGAAGACGGGGTTTAGCATTTATCTCTTCTCAGTTTAATATGTCGCGGGCTTGCTCGCGTCCTGATTCCCTGGTATTTTGGGAAGCGGGGCGTGACAGGTTTTTTTGGTGGCCCACGCAGGTCAAGGTTCCGGTCCCGAGTTACCACCAGTGAGAATATAATGAATAATTTAGACGCATATCATATTTCATCCGTGAGACTATTCTCTTGTCCTTATTCTATATTCTTGATAGATTTCCTTTCGTCCCAATCTTATCATTCTTAGACTCCGGATCTTCCCACTGTTCCTTGTTTCTTGTCTTCTCTTCTTATGGATATCGTTCTATATCTGTCCTTGGGTTCTTATTTTAATTCTGAGGACGGAATTTGTTTTAAGGGGGGTACAATGTAATGACCGTAAAATTTTGATATTAGTTAAAATAATTTTTTGGTATTTTAAAATATTTAATTATGATTTTTAAAAGAGTATTTGTATTTTTCTTGATTTTCTAGAATTTTCTATGATTTAAAGTCTAAGTTTTATATTTATTTAAATGATTTTTATATTTATAAATTAATTTAGTGCAATGAAAATTTCTGGGATTTATCCGTTGTGATTTATAAATTAATTTAGTGCAGTAAAAGTTTTTGGAATTTATCCGTTGGTTTACCGATACTATTACGTATTATTTTAAATAATACGTCGTAATATTATTACTATTACGTATTAATTCTTGTATTATATTGAATTATTAATTACGTATTATTTGTGTAAATTATTGTATTATTACGTATCAGCTGTCGTAATAGCATAACTGGTACGTTTTATCGTGTCGATAATTGTCACATAATTATTTGATTTTAAATGTAAGTAAATATATTTTTATTATTAATTATTTCCGTTTAATTGTACAATACGGGTATATTTTCGACAGTTTCATATCAACTGTTGTATTAGCTCAAAATGTACGTTTTTAATTATAAATAATTATTATATAATTAGTTTAATTTTTAAGTACCCGGAATTATTTATTTTAATTATTTTTGTTTAAATACCTGAAACTATTTCAAAATACTCCAACATTATTTTGCACCGCGACAAACCCCAACAACCCCGTTCTCTCCCTCTGCATTTTTTTCAAAAACGACTGCTCCACGCGCATCATTCCTCAGTATTTTATTTTATTTTATTTATTTTTTATTATTTTTGTTCCCTATTTAAAGCCCAGCTTCCCCATCTCTCTCTTCGTACACTCTCTCTCTCTCTCAAACGAGCTCCACCAGCCCCCGACGAACGCCCGCAGCCCCCGACTTCGCCCGTCCTCAGTATTTTATTTTATTTTATTTATTTTTTTATTATTTTTGTTCCCTATTTAAAGCCCAGCTTCCCCATCTCTCTCTTCGTACACACACACTCTCTCTCTCTCAAACGAGCTCCATTTGTTTAAATACCTGAAACTATTTGAAAATACTCCAACATTATTTTGCGCCCGTGACAAACCCCAACAACCCCGTTCTCTCCCTCCGCATTTTTTCAAAAATTACGGCTGCACGCGCACCTCATTCAATAATTTATTTTGTTTTTTTTCAATTTTTTATTCATTTTTTTCTTATTTAAACCCCAGCCAATCTCATCTCTCTCTCGTACTCTCACCTTCTCTCTCTTCTTTCTCTCTCTCTCTCTCTCGCTCGAGCTCGAGCTCC